TAACATAACAAGCGGACAGATTCCCACGATACAATTAAGAAATTCGAAAACGAGCCCGATTCGTACCTTCAATTCCGCCTTGAGATCGAGAAAAAGCTGGCCCATGGTTTTAAAGGTCTCTGGGCCAACTCAGACGCTGCTAAAGAATTTACTCAAAACGCAAAACAGCACATGAATGATAAAATCAACGATCGACAGACTTTGAAGGCTCTTCTTCCAACTAAATACAAAGCTGGCTGTCGTCGCTTCACGCCTGCTGACAAGTACCTGGAGGCTCTAAACCAGTCAAATGTAGAGCTCATTTCAACCCCGATCAAGCTGGTGGAGGGAAATGCTATAGTCACCACCGATAACAAACGGCGAACATATGACATGATCGTTTGCGGCACGGGCTTTGACCCATACGCCCCGAGGTTTCCAATTAAAGGTAGCGGAACAGCTGACTTGTCAGAGCTATGGTCAACGGATGGGGGCTACGAGAGTTACTTGGCAGCAACAGTCGCAGGCTTCCCCAACTTTTTCGGTATGTGCACTCGCTCATGACATCAAAGAAAGACAAAGAAACTAATTTATGTTTTAAGTGTTTAACCCACCTATCTGCCCTGTTAATGGTTCGGCATACCCTGGGATCGAGCGTACGAGTGATTACATCATCAGAGTTATCGACAGGCTACAGAAGGATTGTCTAAGGTCAGTCTGTGTTAAGAAATCAGCCCAGGATGCCTTTAACCGCTGGGTTCAATCACGCATGCCCGAGATGGTATGGTCGGAGCCATGCTCATCGTGGTGTAAGTAGATACCCATTATCCCACATTTATATTTGTCAGTGCTTAATACTATGTTACAGATAAGTCCAAGAAAAAGGTAATTGTTCCATGGCCAGGAACAATACTTCACTACTACTCCGCGACTGAAATAGTACGATGGGAGGACTACGATCTCAAGTTTGAGGATGATGACCAAAAGTTTGCAAGTTTTGGAAATGGTATTACAGTAGAAGGATTCACTCCGAAAAGTATACCTTGGCTTCGATGCAATTAATGTATCGAAATACTATATGGTCCACTAGTGATACAGGGGTTGATATAGAAAAACATTATTGTATGCCTTGGTTAGGCTTAACCCTAATTTGGCTCGTTCTTTAAAGAGATTCTATTGTAAACTGTGCCAAAAAAAAAAATTAAAAAATTGTTAATTTACTTTGCAAATGGGTCGCTGCATTAGAAGCTACCTATATAAGAGACTATTTAGTTGGGAAGTAATGCTAGTTTGTATAGCCGCGTTCTTTTGTGACTTTATGAGGTACAGCCTGTCACCAGCTAGCTATACCACCATTCTATCTCACAGCGGCCCGGATCGAGACTCCCATAAATCTCTATGAATATCTTATGGCTGACATCTATATCTGCCCCTCGACAGCCTTGGCAACGGTCTAAGATAGTGCCTTGAGTAGTCTTGCCGTTAGACCCCTTAATTGTGATAGTCCGACCACATAAGGGGTTTTCATTGGTGTTCTCGACAATCTTGGCTGCATCATATACCTCTCCAGAGATTGCTACGATGTTGCTAGTTTCGTCTTGCCCACTCGAATCCTGGCCGCAAGCGCCTAGCCCAACAGTATAAAAGGTTATGTCACCAGATTTCACATCGCTGTAGGGAATCGTAGTTCCAGTCTTCGGCTCAGACGTTTGTTCCAGTTGGGAATGAAAAGACGCCAAGTGCGAGGGATAAGGTGGGTTGACACTAAGATCAGGAACTTGTTCGTTCTGAATTGAAGACCCGGCAGAGGTGATGGGGTGATGACTTTCGACGACAGGAGCATCGGTAGGGAATGGGTTGGTAATTACTGCCTGCGTAGAGGTAATCTTGGGTATCTCAATCACACTGGGATTGGCGACAGGTATGGACGGGTTGATCGCCTTGGACCCGTACCCGCAATTGCTCGGCCACTGGATCTCAATTATGCCCTCTGGCTGGGCGGCAGCAACTGTGGCAACAAAGGCAGGAAAAAGACTAAGAATCTTCGTGAAATGTGTATGCATTCGTTTCGATTACCTGTTCTTGGTTCAACGGTAATGGAAGGATGGCAAAAGATATGTGGACTGCGTTTTATAGAAGCACGTAGCTAAGCAATAAATACATAAGAAAAGCTGAATCTTTAATTAGAGAACTTCGCACTTCTAAGAGGATACATTCTGGAACAAATTTCAGTCGATAATATTGTTTTGGATCAAAAGATCTAGTTTCTAGTATTTTAAGGTTCAAGTGAGAAGACAAACACCTAAAGACTAAGAACACTGTACTTCATAAGAACTGGGGATTTCTGAAATAGCAGAGCTATACATAGAGTGCTTCAAAGATGCTAGTACGACCACCATAAG